GATGAATTATCTCTGATCGTGACTCTGCTCGTTTTTGTTTCAAATTATGCTCAGGCGAGCCCATTTCAGATGGAAGGGAGAAGAAAGAAGAGATGGAAATGTGTAATAAAATCGCCCCTTCTCTAATATGGACAGTGATTAACATTTAAAAAATCAGTGAATAGTCATGCACCCAGAGTTTCCATGTGTCCCAGTCGTCTGAGGTATCCTGGTAGGAGGACCCCTCTCTCTCCAAGGGGAGAACAGTGGGAATTGCCTGATTAGCACATCTACTGGACAGAGCCATCACTCAGCTCCAACTCACACTCCACTCATAGCCACAAGGCACCAGAAAAGATTCTTGTGCAGAGAAAATGCTGCCCACACCTCACAGCAATGGAGGCGACTGCTGGTCTCAGAGGGTTAACATCTCCATCAAGAGAAGACCTAATAGGGTCTGGGGATTTAGCTCAGTGTTTCTGCAGCCTGCCTTGCAAACGCAAGGTCCCAAGTTCAATCCCTGGTACCAAGAAAAATTGATCCCTGGTACTAAAAAAAAAAAAAAATAGTCAAAAAGGGAGCTAACAAAATTCTGTGAGGCTGTAGGAAGACTTGGTGGTGATGGTGGTGGTAGTGTGTGTGTGTGTGTGTGTGTGTGATTTATTTTGTTTGTTGGAAGGAAGTTGCATTTTTTTTTACTAATTTATTCACAAAATTTTGCAAGCATACTAAGAATAGTAAAACAGACCTGCCCTAGATATATACTCACTGTAATTAATTCCTCCATGCAGATACACGCTTTTTCCATAAATAAAAGGTCACAACTATAAACGTCCCTCGTTCCTCCCCTGCCTGCAGAGGCCGCAGAGGCTGCCCACACAGCTTTGTATTTGTACTGCATGTGTAACATCCATAAATAATATGTGCCACTGTTTTGCATCTTAAATATGCACAAATGGTGTTCTGTACATCTCATTTTGATAGTGGCCGTTTCCACCCCACATTATGTGTTTGAGCCTTTGGTGACATTGCTGCCTATAACTGCAGTTCATTACTTTTACCGTCATGCAGTACTGTGTTGTTTGTAGAATCTCATTTTATCCATTCTCCTACTGAAAAGCTATACGTAGTTGTCACATTTTTGCCATTGCAAATATTGCTTCGATGAATATCTTTATGCAAGTCTTCTCAGGTGCATGGTTGGAAGTTTCCAATGGGTGGGCAGCTAGTTATGAAATTGCTGTGTGTCCACTACCTTTCTAGGTAATTCCCAGCAAATGACAAGCACCCTGCTGTCACTTCCTAAACCATGAAATCCTTTATGACTTGGTAGGTCCCTCACAAAGAAAAATGATGATTAGAATTTTTACAATAACTCTGCAAAGTGCCTCTACTACCCTAAAAAAATAAAATAATACAAAACAAGCATGGACCTAGTGGATTCAGAGCTAAGGGAGTGACCTAAGTGACACTGTGAGATTCAGAAGTTTCTCAGAGAGGATGGAGCTAGGCAGCTCTGGACACTCCCTGCCCTGCGGCCCTGGGCCCCTTACCTCACAGTGGTCATCCAGAGTGGAGCCTCTCCTTTCTCACCCTGGCCCAAGCTCTTTGGAGCCATCTCTGCAGTCTGGAAGGACTCAGGCTGGTGGTAGGGTGGCCAGAGCAGAGCAGGAAAGGCACTTAAATTTGAGGTTTACAGGTTTTTTTTTTCTTCCCTCCCTCCCTCCCTTCCTCCCTAACTTCCTTCCTAACTTCCTCCCCTCCCCCTCTCTCCCCTGAGGTAATTCTATTTTAGCAGGTGTACAAAATTTAGATCCTGTGTGAGGAAACACACAGCCCTTCAGCTGACATTTTGACTCACCAATGCCTCTGTGAGCTCAGCCAGGACCTCAAAGCAAAAGACCAGTCTGTGGCAGAAGGCAAGGCTCCTCTGGGGAAATTCCAGGTCTTTTCAGCCAGCAACATGGAGGACCAGAGGAGTGTGCTGTGCTCCGTAAATCTGCTGCTGCAGGCCCTTGCCTGGCCCTGAGTTCACCCCCCTCTGTGCCCTGCAGTTCAGCTGTCCTTTCTTCCAGTAAACACCGTGTGTGCCTTGTGATGAAGTTGTCCTCCAGAGACAGCCCCAGATCTCATGCAAGGGCTCAACGCCTCAAGAAAGCTAACAAATGACCAGGCCGGAGTTGCCAAACACCCAAGGGATAGAGCAGGGGATGCTGGGTGGTTGGGGGGACTTTCCTTGGATTCAGAAGGTCCCTGCTGTGAGGCCCAAAAGTTGAAAAGAGTGACTGGAAGCTGTAACTTGGTAACAAGCAAGTTTGTAGAGTTCTGCAAAAAGCAGCAGTTGGAGGAGCAAAGCCAGTGAGCACTAGCTTTAGTGGCTTCTGGGCTGGTCACTGAACTTCTTTGAGTCCCCCTGCCCTCACCTGTAAGATGGGTGACCGCTCTCATACAGTGCGATCAACACGATGCCCTATGCCAAGAAGCCCTCAGATATGCTTTCTCCCGGTGGACTCTTGTGGACTTGGGGTTATGGGTGACACAAAGCGGCCACAGTCCCTAAATGGGTTTGCTGCTCAGTGGCCTTCAGAAATCGCTCATCATACACTCCCAGTCCTCTCAGACTCCTTCCTGCTGAGTGCAGTAGAGAAGTGTGGCGGCTCTGGCTCAGGCTGTGGAGTCAGATTCCTGGGTTCAAATCCCAGTTCGACCACTTGCAAGCTGTAGGAGCTGAGGGAAGTTTTTCATTTATATAGTGGGAGTCAGAGGGGCAGTTCCAGCCTCAGAGGGTTGAGAACTCCATGAGTTGATCCCGGTGCCTGGCACACAGTGGGTGCTCAGTAACGATGCTGACAATCGATTATCAGCCACAGACGTAACCATCAGCCCATTCGTTTCTACAGGACCAAGTGTGTGCGGCTGAGGCCCTGGTAACACAGAAGTGAGTTGGTCCTTGTCCCGGGGATAGACACGCACCAGTCCATCTGTGGCAAGTGGGGCTCTGATGGGGGAGCCCTGTGAGAGGAAGGGGAGGAAAGGGGAAAGGTCAAGAGGCTCAGAGGTGAGAGAGAAAGAGAGGAGTCAGCAAGGACTCTCCAGTCAGAAAGAATACCCAGGTTTGAAATACACCCATCGCAAGTGTCCCGCACTTCTCCGCGTGATGCCCGCACTGTGGCAGGCACACATACTACTGTGCCCTCCATTTTCTTTTTCACTGGGGCAGGCAGATCTGCCGTGACCTCCGTGGACAGGCAGGAAGGAGCCGCGCGGGCTCCAGGTGTCTGATCCTCCCCTCTGTGCCAAGTCGTCTTTAGGAGCTTGCAGGCATCTCGGGGCTGCACTGCGAGCGGCGAATGGGGTGTCCTGGCTGCTGTACGGTGACCGCCGCCGGCGCAGAGATTGAAGGCCACCCTGCGGGACTGCGCGCTGGGAGGAGGCCGGCTTGGAGGCAGCGAGGTGCGACCCGAAGGACTGTTGCAAGTCGGGGGCCAGAGGTGACAGTGGCCTGTGAAGCCGCGGGGCGGGGGGTCGCAGGGAAGGAGGCGGCTTCAGGTAAAGTGGGTTTGGAGGCAGAACCCGAGGAGGCGCGGCCAATAGGCAGGC